TATGGCAACAGACGGCGAGGACGACAGTCTACAAATGTACCGAAATTCTGGGGAATTATTCACTAAACACCATGGGAGGAAGTTGAAAAACAAATTGAAGAATTTTGATCCTCCTTCTCTCACAGTAAGCTGAACGGTGTGTTGTTGGAGGTTAGTTTTTGTGGTGAATAAGACGTAATTTGATTTTGGAATTCCTCACCCCTCCTCCCCCCCCCCGACTTAAACAGGAGTGTTGTCTCTTATTTGGGCGCATGGTGACAGAGTCTGTGGACCTGTCTGCTGGATGACTTTTTTTTTTAAATTATTCAGGATTAATATTTAGATGCATATTTTAATGTTTTTAATATTTATATATTGACATTTTTTATGTATGATATATTTTTCGATATTTTAAAAATCAATGTGAAAACTTATCTGGAGATATTAAACCAAGGCCTATATTTGATAATACGACAACGGACATCTTTATATCTCTATACCCGAATAAAATTTGTAATATACGCTGAGCTGTAATAGTACAATAAGTTGTAATAATACAATAAACTATAATACTGCAACAATTTGTAATGATACAATAAGCTGTAATAATATAATGAGCTGTAGTAAGATAATACGCTGTAATAATACAATAAGCTTTATTGATGCAATACACTTTAAAGGGACACTATAGTCACCTGAACAACTTTAGCTTAATGAAGCAGTTTCGGTGTATAGAACTTGCCCCTGCAGCCTCACTGCTCAATCTTCTGCCATTTAGGAGTTAAATCCCTTTGTTTATGAGCCCTAGTCACACCTCCCTGCATGTGACTTGCACAGCCTTCCATAAACACTTCCTGTAAGGAGAGCCCTATTTAAGCTTTCTTTATTGCAAGTTCTGTTTAATTAAGATTTTCTTATCCCCTGCTATGTTAATAGCTTGCTAGACCCTGCAAGAGCCTCCTGTATGTTATTAAAGTTCAATTTAGAGATTGAGATACAATTATTTAAGGTAAATTACATCTGTTTGAAAGTGAAACCAGTTTTTTTTTTTCATGCAGGCTCTGTCAATCATAGCCAGGGGAGGTGTGGCTAGGGCTGCATAAACAGAAACAAAGTGATTTAACTCCTAAATGACAGTGAATTGAGCAGTAAAATTGCAGGGGAATGATCTATACATTAAAACTACTTTATTTAGCTAAAGTGATTTAGGTGACTATAGTGTTCCTTTAATGATAAAATAAACTGTAGCCATATAATACAATAAGGTGTGATAATAAACTGAACTATAATTTTACAATATTCTGTAATGTAAAATAAGTTGTAGTAAAACAATAAGCTGTAATGAGCTGTAATGATACAATGTGCTGTAATGATGAGATAATTTGTAATGACACAATGAGCGGTTATAATACAATGAGCTGTTGTAATACAATGGGCTGTAATGATGAGATAAGCTGTAATAATACAATGAGCTGTAATGACACAATGAGCTGTAATAATACAATGAGTTGTTATAATACAATGAGCTGTTATAATACAATAAACTGCAATGATGAAATAATCTGTAGTGGTTATGACACGGAGAGTCCCTTTCACATTAATGTAGATTTGGAATAAAAGTAGAAGCTGCACAAACAGCGCATTTATCTGACACAGATAATATTTTATTTTACTATTCCAACATACTCTGCCCCACTATACAAAGGATGTTATGGATTCTCAGACAGCCGGAATCGCACAGGACGTCAGCCGTTAGTTTACTATAATGACGAATTTAAAGTATTTCCTCTAAAGTGTCAGAATTCATCCTGAGAGACAAACATTCGCAGAGGCAGACCTGGAAATTTATTGAGGAAAACACCAGGCTAGCGAGCGGAAGGAAAGCACTCAGTAAGATGGCGCATGGCGTTAGAGCAGGGGAAGGAAGTTCACGGTTTGTTTTGCAAGGATGGAGAGGGCAGTGGAGGTGCAGAGCGGGCAGATGAGTTCAATATTTTACTCAACGATGGGATTCCACAGGATGTTTGTCTGTGTGTCTGTGAGGAACTGCTGCAGAAAGGGTTAATTTCTAAAACGGGAGCTTTCTCTGTAAATTCTAGCGACAACGACTGATTGGCCGGCGGTGAATTAAGAGTTCCCGGAAAGGCATTGTCGTAGGAACAAAAGAAAATTAGGATAAAACATAACAATTATATTATAATTATTTGACCTTAAATTTAAATTCACTTTGAATTTCCCAAAAACTCACTTAAGTGAATATCCCGTCCTGCAGATGACACAATGTCCTTCTTTCCAGACACGAGTAAATTATTAACTCATCCAGCAGGCAAGGGACTTTGGACTCTATTCTTTACAACAATAATTCATAGTCTGAACGGGCATTATGGGACATGTTGTCCAAAGAAATGATCAGTGCCAAAGTCAGCCATCATTTCCATAAGATTTGAGCAAATGCACACACGAATATGCAAATGAACATGTACACCGTTTACCAAGGTTTCCTGAGCTTGACCAGTCGTATCGGAAGGATCTAACCGCTGTGCCAGCTCAGCCAAATTCATTACTTAAAGGACAACTGTCATCAAATATTTTACTTTTATTTATTTTTTAAAGTTTATTGCATTTAATGAAACTTTTTTAGTTTTTAGAAAATTCTGCATATTGTTTTTTTTTTTTGTACACTGAAAATGTCGCTTTCTAGCTGTCTGAGCGGCCATGTTGGGTCAGACTCTACTTTTGTCCGACCAACCGCTGCTCAACCTTGCTTTCTGCTGCTGAAGATTCTCATAGACCAACCACAGCATCAGCTGCATCAGCGGCAGTTGGTCCAAAAAAATCTATATAAATCATTAAAAAATATTTAATAAACAATATAAATCAATGAAAAAATATAATAAACTTTTAAAAGACAGGAAGTGGAAAAGTGATGATAATTGTCTTTTAAATCAAACAGGATCCTTTGTATAATAATTTGCCTTGAATTAAATGCCTGGAGTATTACACTGTTCCATGAATGTTCCTTTAGGCACCCAGAATTGGGTCTGGGGCATCCGATCCACAGGAAATTCTAATATTACCTTAATCAGTCAGCTGGAAGCGTTCGGACCTTCTTGAATGGCAGCTGTAAATTCAGAGAATCCACTTAGATTTTTATTTTCCGTGATCTCAAAAATTTCACATCATCTCCACCTCTTGACGTCTGAGAAACAATTAAAATAATGCTAAAACTATGTTTAACAATGATAAATACATTGCTTGTAAATGGTGAGTAAAATTGAGTAGATTAAAGTTATTAACATATGATATTTTTAGGTTTATATTGTTTGCATAAAATACCTCTTTTGTGTTTCTATGAGAATTATTCATGTTCTGTCTGCCTGCTTTCTCCTCCTTAAGATCTACAGCTTGGTCTAAAGTTATGTTGATATCTCACACACGGTATATTGCCATGTGAAGATTTACAGCTTATTAGACCAGATATTCCTGTACCTTCTGATCTGTAGTTAGCTAACATTTTGCAAGGCTTTGCTACCAATTAACGTTGACAAACAACATGGGCTACAATTTAGGGAGTTCTTAAAGATAAATACATTTTTTTCCTTAGTTTATATATTTCCATTCTTCTACCCATTCATCCACCTATCCATCCTTACCAACAACCAGCCCACCCATCCATTCATCCATCCATCCTTACCAACCACCCTTCCATCCAGTCACCCACCCACCCATCCATCCACCCATCCTTATCACCACCCCCATCCACTCATGCACCCAACCATCCATCCATCCACCAATTCATCCAATTGATCATTTACGCGTCTACCCACCCACCCACCCACCAATCCATCCATCCACCCACCCACCCACACTTCTATACATCCATCACCACATCTATACATCCACACATCCATCCATCCACCCCCTACCCACACATCCATCCACTACCCACCTACACATTCATCCATCCATCCAACCATCCACCCACCTAAACACGCGCCCATCCGTCCATTCATGCACCTTACATCCACTCTCCCACACTCCTATCCATCCAACCACAAACCCACCCACAACCGCATCCATTCACCCATCCATCTACCTACCAACCCATCCATCCACCCATCCATCCATCCATCCATCTACCCACCAATCCATCCACCCATCTATCTACCCACCCATCCATTCACCCATCCATCTACCCACCAACCCACCCACCAAACCATCTATCCATCTACCCACCAACCCACCCACCCACCCACCCATCTACCCACCAACTCACCCACCCACCCATCCATCCACCCATCCTTATCACCACCCCCATCCACTCATGCACCCAACCATCCATCCACCAATTCATCCAATTGATCATTTACACTTCTACCCACCCACCAATCCATCCACTCACACTTCTATCCATCCATCCATCCATCCACCCACACATCTTTACATCCATCCCCACATCTATACATCCATCCCCACATCTATGCATCCACACATCCATCCATCCACCCCCTACCCACACATCCATCCACTAACACATCCATCCACCTACGCACCCACACATCCATCCATCCACCCACCTAAACACGCGCCCATCCATCCATTCATGCACCCTTACATCCACTCTCCCACACTCCTATCCATCCAACCACAAACCCACCCACAACCGCATCCATCCACCCATCCATCTACCTACCAACCCATCCATCCACCCATCCATATAACCACCAGCCCACCCACCCATCCATTCACCTATCCATCTACCCACCCATCCATTCACCCATTCATCTACCCACCAACCCACCCACCAATCCACCCACCAAACCATCTATCCATCTACCCACCAATACACCCATCCATCCAAAACCTTAATGCTGGAATGAAAAAACTATCCAGTAATGAAGATCCCTGTGAGGTGATGAAAGTTAGTTTAGTTAGTTTAGTTAAGTGGTCATTATAAAATGATATCATATAACGCCTGATAATTTAATTTGGAGTGTTTCCTAGAATAATGACATCAAACATTATTTTATTTAAATAAAAGTTTATTTATCATTGACCACAAAAGGCTGTTATCTTTAGAAGCCAACAGAAAACATATGACGAGAACAGGTTTCTCAAACATTTCAGAGCAATTTAAACCCATCGTGTTCTGTTACTGGAATCCAACTCATACACACAGATCGAGAGTAAGAGCGATAGAGACATCCAAGGTGGACAAAATTTCCTAGAATCGACAAAAGACCTGCGGATCATAAGCATGTTCGGGGGGTTGGTTAGATCAGCCCACCCACAGCAGAGCTGGTTTGTCCTTTGTGTAACTGACTAGGTCCTGCCTGCAATTTTGTAGCAGTTTCAATTGGAAAACGCTAAATAAATTGACTATCAGAGTTATCCACTGAAGTGTGAATTTCAAATTTAAGGCCAGAGTAGTTGAATAGGAAGCATAGCTGACAGAGAATTTTTCTAGTTAGACTATTTCGATTCCATTTGAATTCTCACTTTGATTAATAATCCTGTAGGTCTGGCTATCTCTGTCTAAAAGTAGTTATATCAAATCTCAATTTTTAAGATTGCATAATTTAACTAAAATTCAGCTGGTATTACAAAAAAATCGATAACGTTTTTACTGTCAATAAAACTTGCAACTTTTCAGGATGTGTATCCTAATGAAATGTTTTCCAAAAACACTTACGTTGCAGGGGATACTGGGATATAAAGTCCACTCGGATTTCAGGGCCAGAGGTTACCTATCTGTAGCAGTATTTATGGGTAATAGAGAGACAGAAAGACAGGACAGGTGTTTTTAAAGGGGAACTGGAATAAAACTTAGAAAATTACCTACAACTTGAGTTGACCCTTTTTTTCACGTAACAATCCTTTTTCAATCAAATGTATATTAAAAATATAGAACTGACATCACAATCCGGCTCAGTGCTGGCACAGCCTGGCACAGCCTGGCACATACTATATTCTCTCCTAGTCACTGATTATCTCTGCCTCCAAGAAAGGTATTTGATGCACGATTTGTGGAGAGCTTTCTGCTGAGTGATAGCTGCAAAGGATATTTATTTTATCACAGCAATGGACATTATAATAAAGATTGACTGTGATGCAAGATGGAGGCACCCAGTACTAGATATAATGGTAAATACAGAGGTGAAGATTTCAACATTTAATTTTATTTTTCTGACTTAACAACCACATAATAATGTTTTAAATATAGTGAATAAGTAAACATAATGTTATAATTCCTAGGAAGTGACAGGTTACTCTTTAGAGACAGGACAAGCGCACTCATGCAAAACACAACACATCCACACACACACAAAAAGTGTAAAAACAATAATCTTTATATACAAAGTTATGTAAATAAAATATACACAAAAATATAAATTTATACATGACTTGACTCTGCACTGGGGAGGGGAGGGGAGCTGTAGCTGACATACAGGTGAAATCTAAGGACTTATAGGACTGATTTGTATGAAAGACACTCAAGATTCAGTAGCATAGGGGAGCAGCATTTTACCCTCTTACTACCAGAGGGGCATTAAAATAAACCCTTTTAATATAAGGGCAATTGTGCAAAGTGTGTAACTCAGTACAGCTGCATAATGTAACGTCATAAAGACTTCATATCACTAAATGTGACTCTGCCAGGGGCCGGTACTGTGTTTAATAGTTAACTTTTTGTTTGTAACTTTAAGGCTGATTGTACATAGAATTTTATGTATCAGTATTGATTTAGAATGTTGATATTAAATGCTAGATCTCAGTCTGTATCAAAAACAGTAACATTTAAACAGTGCTCAGAAGTCCTTATGATAAACAGCCATCAGTAACCCATAATTTGACATGTTAGGAAAATATTGTATCAAAGATAATCAGCTGGAGAATATTCTTAATGAAGTCTTATAGGTTAGTTCAGCACGGTGCACATAGGTCCCCCCAGTTTCGGCACCCTTGCCAACATTGTTTGTACATAAAGTAAGAGAGGGCCCATCATGGATTTCGACAGTTGGCGTAGTCGGTGGGATTTCACCACTTGGTGTATGGCGATTGAGACTGGAGAAGAAAAAAAATGGAAACATTGTTAAAATGAATATTACTATTACTTGCTGTTCTGTGGCCTATTAATCATTGAATGGTATATATTCAATTACAGTTTTTTCATCCTAAGCTCCAAGGGTCTGTCTGTTGGGCAATTTGTTGTGAATTGCAAACTCTGGCTTTATGACAAATAATGGAAAAAGTTGTGCAATTTAAAATGAAATGCCAGTCTGGGCTTTTTCTTAGAGTGGCAGCTGCTTTTCAGATGCTTTTCACTTAGCAAGGGTCAGGGTCATTCAGACTGTTTTGTGGTTGTGTTTGGTGAAAAGAAAATAGATTTTTACCTGTATGTTATTGGATGCATTATTTCTGTTGTGTGGCACATAAGCATCATCAGCCCGTATGGTTGCATTTGCACTAGAAGCTGGGTGAGTGTTGGCAGTTGCGCGGGGAATTATAACATCGTATGGACCCTCCGACTGTGGGGAGACAAAAGACAATGGTTAAGAAATATAATTTAACTTGTGTTATGAACCGCTTCCTCAAAAATGTGTATTGGTCACTATTTGTTTTTATGTGAGCAACAAGGATGCAGGACCACCCCAAAAGTGAGTGGGGTATAGCCAACTGTTGGTGGATCAGAAAGGAAATCCCTATAGTTATATACCACAATGCCTACCTATAGATATATACGATATGTATCAGTTTGCCCACCTATATATATGCCAGTTTGCCCACCTACAGATCTAGATATATGCCAGTCTGCTCTACTGCAGGGCAAAGTTATGCCTGGGTGACCACAAGCATTTGTCATGACAGAGGCCACTACCTATTAATCTCCATTCCAGCGATTCATTTTTTTATTTTGAGTCCCATATTGTATGTGTGGCATGTACTTGGCAGCCCGTGTTACAATTATAAAATTACCCCAGCGATCCATGCTTCAGCTGTTACATAATACATAAAATATAATTATGAAAAGCAGTCTAGTCTTTTCTCTAGGTCAGAGAGGTCTCGGTTGCCCTGAGAAAGGTGGTGTAGCTTCAGAAAGCAATTTATTGTACGCAGTTGCCCAGAGTCCAATGAATACGATGCAGATATTCTACTCACTGGGGACGCATTGTAATCACACAGAGTCCAATTTTAGAACACATGTTGGAAATGTTCCCAGTTATCCACTACCATTTCAGTAAAATAATTCTTTATGTCACATTTTAACCTTGCTCCTCTAAATTGCTGCTGGTGTTTCCCCTTTTTTGGTATAAATATTCCCTCTCTGTTCTTTGAATCCCTTTATATAACTGAATGTTTCTATGATAACCGAGAGTTATTAGTGAGGCCGTGCCAAGCATTGCATAACGAGGAGCCATACAGCTGGGCTCAGATAGAATCACAGCACTGTACATCTTGGCCGGAACACACTAACAGTAACACATTTACAGTTTGCAGGTAGAATTGGTCTGCACCAGCTCCGGGATCTAATTTCACTCAGTTGGCAGTGAGATTAATAGCTGTCGGACTGCCTTATGGTTTCACTCCGGAGATAAGAGAGAGTCAGTGTCCCAGAACTGAGGGCCTTTTATGCGCCAAGCACCCGTGGCAAAATCAAGAAGCAATAGAGTTTTTTGGAAACTGATTTCTGATTCTGAATTTTTTTTTTTACTTTGTCTTTTTCTGAGTTTTCTACATACAATTGTATAACAAAAATCATAAAATAAACCATTTGGGCTTATTTATTATCAGTAAATAGAATTATATTATCGAAGGTTACAGATTCATCAGCTTAAAGGACCACTATAGGCACCCAGACCACTTCAGCTCAATGAAGTGGTCTGGGTGCCAGGTCCATCTAGGATTAACCCTTTCTGCTGTAAACATAGCAGTTTCATAGAAACTCAAACTGCTATGTTTACCTATGGGTTAATCCAGCCTCTAGTGGCTGTGTCATTGACAGCCGCTAGAGTTGCTTCCGCGCATCTCACTGTGATTTTCACAGTGAGAAGACACAAGCGTCCATAGGAAAGCATTTAAAATGCTTTCCTATGAGACTGGCTGAATGCACACGCGGCTCTTGCTGCGCATGCGCATTCAGCCGATGACGGGAAAGGAGGCGGAGAGTCCCCATCGCCGAGGGAGACCGGTGGTGGAAAAAAGGTGAGTGTTTAACCCCTTCCTCACCCTAGAGCCTGACTGACATAGAGAAATTAAACAATATCTGCAATTCTGCAGTGAATTTGAGAAGTTGCAACTTTAGTTCCTCATTCCGTTCCTGCCGAGAATAGTCACAAATGCTTGGGATATATTTAGAAGCAGAAATGAAAAGAGGTTGCATATTTTATGGCTTATTATGATGAAATCCTAACACATAATTATTATGGGACACCCGGGGCTTGTAAATTGTGTGTCCACGGAAGTCGAACTTCTTGTATTCCTATATGTTGAGCCAAATGTTTCTGGAATGTATCGAATGTTTTGTGATCAGTGATACAGTGAACGTGTAGATAGACCGAGGAGAAATGGCGAAGTAAGACTTCATAAACTCCAACAGAGAAAAAAAATAAGGAAAGTTGGGCAGAGGTTGTTAAACGCAAACGACAGAGCTGGCTGTCACGTTCGGGGTCTGTCTCACTTTAACCTTCACTTCACGTCAAAATGATCATCTCCAGATATGAACGTGGTGAAAAACTAACCACCCATTTTTCATGCATAAATAATGCTAAAAATTGGATTTCCCCCCCAAATTCTTAAATTCCAAAAAAACATTTGTACGCCAAGTGTCAGTAGAAAGCAATTTAAAGCGGTAGGCTATGCACCATAACCACTACAGCCTCCTCCTGCTGTCTCTCACAAGCACAACGCCACCATCACCACCTCCTCCTGCTGCCTCTCACAAGTATAACGCCACCATCACCACCTCCTCCTGCTGCCTCTCAAAAGCAAAACGCCACCATCACCACCTCCTCCTGCTGCCTCTCACAAGTATAACGCCACCATCACCACCTCCTCCTGCTACCTCTCACAAGCATAACACCACCATCACCACCTCCTCCTGCTGCCTCTCACCAGCTGAAAATGCAACAACTTCAAACTGAGGACTTTCCTTCACATTCAATGCCAACCCCAAAGTCTACAATGCCACAGTCCTGCCAACAGCCTAATTCTGCTTTTATAATACATTTGATGCTAAATTTTCTCTTTCCTCACTATATAATCATTAACCAACTTCTTTATTTTCAGACTCGACTGTAGGCTGTGGCAGATTACTGTACGTTATAATTGTTTGTGTGATTACATTAAAGGACCACTCTAGGCACCCAGACCACTTCAGCTTAATGAAGTGGTCTGGGTGCCTGGTCCTTCTAGGGTTAACCCATTTTTTCATAAACATAGCAGTTTCAGAGAAACTGCTATGTTTATGAATGGGTTAAGCCTTCCCCTATTTCCTCTAGTGGCTGTCTCATTGACAGCCACTAGAGGCGCTTGCGTGCTTCTCACTGTGATTTTACCGCGCATGCGCATTCAGCTGACAGGGAGGAGAAGAGGAGGATCGGAGGCGGAGAGCTCCCCGCCCAGCGCTGGAAAAAGGTAAGTTTTAACCCCTTTCCCCTTTCCAGAGCAGGGCGGGAGGGGGTCCCTGAGGGTGGGGGCACCCTCAGGACACTAAAGTGCCAGGAAAACGAGTATGTTTTCCTGGCACTAAAGTGGTCCTTTAACATACTTTGTGGAAAGTGGTGACACTTGTAATAAAGTCTCCTGTACATGCGCACTGTTGGCTAACTCAATTTTCTAATTGTTACAATAGACATTAAATCTCAGTGGGATATCCCCCCCTTCTCCCTATTTTACAGAGATTTGTATTTTCTGATTCCCAGTTTGTCTGCTATAGTAAATATATTCTAATTCACTAATGCACTCTGCTTAGAAACGTGCAAACAGTAGCCCCAAGTGTTTCACAAACTAGTAATTTATATATTTATCGAAAGGACAATTTTAAAGGTAAATTTAATTCTCTTTTTTTTAGCATAACACTGCTTCTCTCATCTCCGAAAGAAGAAAAACCACAGAAGTTATAGAATTCTATAGAGTTATCTTTTAAAGTGTGAATTCAAAGTGATTTTTAAATTTAAGGCCAAAGTAGTTGAATGGAAAGCATAGCTAATTTAGAGATTATTTTGGCTGTTTTGACCTTAGAGGGACACTCTATTGCCCAAATTCAACAACAATAAATAAATTAGAAAAAGAAAAAACTGTTTAGTAGATATATCCAAATTAAAATATGCATGCATTTAATTATGCATATTTTGAAAAATAGCTTGTAAAAGATGCAGACCTCTTGTCTGCAGCCTTTACAAGCCCTCCCCTTCTAACCCCGCCCAGACTTTCTGTGGCTGTCCAATCACAGCCTTCCCAATGCAGCTCGATGAGAAGTCTTTACAAGGCAGGCGCTCTGGGCAATTGCTGCCTCTTGGGTTTATCTCCAAGTAGCTAAACAAACCAGGAAGTAACAGGATCGACTGTCTGACTGACAGCCAGGGGGGTGTAACTAGGTTAATTTATAAAAGTGTCAATTTCTATTGAAATGAGCACTTTTTGAAAAATAAAATAAAGAGTATACACACTTCCTACATAAAGCATTCAAGCAAGCTAAAGTGCTTTAGGAGTTCAGAGTGTCCCTTTAAATGTGAAATTCTTAGTGAATACTCCTATGAGTTAAAGTTGTTTGTTTGATTTTGCATAATTATGTTAACTGCCTCCTCTCTTTGAGTGCAGGTAAAGTCTCCAATAAATGAGTTACATTTCTGGAACCAATGGGAGTCTTCAAGCCACCGACCTGGGACAATCAGAAGCCCTAAATTGCACTCCGAGTTGGCCACATTCTGTTAAGTTTGAAATACACTATAAATCAAGTTGTTTGTTTAATTTTTAAACATGATCTTTTATTGTGTGTATTGAATTATTGTACAGTAATCCTTTCTAAGAAAAATATGTTTGAACAGTAAGGAAACGTGTATTTGTCTTATAAAGATTATCGTACATATTGTGGTTTATCTATACCTGTTTTTTAAACCATCTACTCAATAAAAGAGGTTCTGCTCAGTGAGTGCATTCACGTTGGTGATTATAGATATGTAAGTGGTGGCAGGGTCTGCTCGGAGAGTTGAAGGATGAGTTTCAGAAGTGTTGGCAGTTTCTGTGCTAAATCTGACTAACGCTGAGAACGGATAAACAGAGCTGGCCGTGTTAAACATTTTAGAAAGGCTGTCTTTCGTGGACGGCCAGCAGATGTATCTGGAACAGTTGTTCAGTGTTCTCTGCAGTTTGCACAGTCACTGAACAGCCCGCTAAACTCTCCATCCGACACTTGAAGAAGAAGAAAAAAAAACTAAAAGGGCAAACAACCAACACTCAGATTACGGCCAACCACAGACTCCACATGTCACCAAAGCCTTTGCTGGAAGAGAAGGGGCCCTTACCGTATTCTTGTTCATAATTGCCATCTCCGTGGGCTGGTAGACACTGCCTCGCATCTGCCCGTTATAGCCGCTGTAAGGGGACACTGTTTTTTTTGCTGCTAAAAGATCAGATGAGATAAGGTTTAGAATTTTTAATGCAATATACTATCTCTCTCTGATTGGAGAAGATACGGCCAACTCCTATATGTAAAGAAAGTGTAGCTATGACCGGCCGATTAAATATTAAGGATGGAACTTGGGTGTCCATCAACTGGGCAAAAGGGACATTGGGGCAAGACTAACTTTTGATCATTACCCTTTCACAACTAACCTAGCTAACTGCAGCTCTAACAAACACTTAGCCCTGGAGAGGATAAGCTACTTCTTACTTCATATGACAAAATAAAAGCTGGTATTTAGAAATATTGCTGTAACTTCTAGCTTACCTGAATATAGGAGCAATGGCGGGACCTGCTTTCTTTAACTATCTTACTCCTATCCATATTTATGTACACCTGCTATTTTACACTGTTACGGAAACTGACACGTTGTCATGAACAAGTTGTGTTTACACTTACCACCGGCTGGCTCATCCATGGAGAAGGCTTTGTTCTCTACATAATTGCTTTGGGAAATCTGTTCTTTTAAGATGGTTTCATAGCCCACACCACGAGCTTGGTATCCTTCCTCCTCAAATGTCTGTTCCAGATTGGGCTTGGTCAACTGAGAGATCTCCGGGATTATATAGAAGAAGATAAAAGCCCAGGCGTTAGAGACCAGAGCAATGGCCAGCGTGGGGTCATCCCAGTACAAAGATTTCACGAGCTGAACATTCCCGTATATGTACATAACAATCCATGCTATCCAAATGCAGATGGACAGGAAGAGGGTGATGAGAATGAAGATGGCGTGCTTGCTCCAGTGACCATAGCGGCCACAAAATGCTGGCCAGGCAGTCACAAACCCAGCCAGAATGAGGAACATGACATAGATTAACGCCATAACAAAGTCCTGATTGAAAATAGCGCATGGTTGTCCCAGTGTACTGGCTGTGCGCACAATGGTGATAATAAGCCACTCTGTGTTGATAATAACCTCGACCAGTGTAAGACAGAGAGCAATCAAAAACACCCACCAGCCATTGGGTCCTCTGTTTCTTCGCACAAGGCAATTAAGGCTGATTCCATGCGACCACAAGGCGGAGAAGCACATAGCGAAGAAAACTCCAAATAGGAACCTCCGTGATGCACAAGTGGAAAAGTTCTGTTTGACAATTATATCAAAGACTAAGCAGAAAAGTCCAGTTGTTCCCACTAGGAAGAAGATCTGAGTCCCAAGTATGCTTTTCTTCCTCGGATCCTGAATGAAAGGGGTACTGGCTACTAAGACGATGATAAGGATGAAAGAAGATACAATGCCAGCGCTGGTAATGGCCTCTAACACAATACCCCAGGCAGAGGAGAGATCACAGAGATAGTAGTAAATTGGATCTAAACCTTGCCCACATCCAGAAGGAGCTGCTGTGGTGGTCTGAGCATTGCTTAACGATGAAAAACTTAAAATAACCCACAAGGAGGTCATAACGGCCCAGGCTGGGCATGGCCATGCTGATTGAAAATTCATGGTTTGATCTGCAAAACAAAAAATGAGGGAACAATATGTTAGAATAAGAGAAGTATGTCCTGAACTGCTGAAGGCAACGTGGGTGATCTGAACTAGAAGCACAGTGTTTAACCTGCTAGACAACAAAAATATTTTAGAGCGACAGAAGGATTTTTTAGTTATGGGTCATAGTCGGTCTTTCCTTTGTCCCAGTAAACTATTTTGAAGAAGAAACAATTCTACCCGTGCTGCACATTGTGGGTGATAGCTAGGTGTTGCCATCTCCCTGCCTTTCCATGTCCACACATGCCTGCCATGTTAATACATTTCCCATGATTCAATACACTCAGAGAAAACATACAGAGAATCACAGGTTTACATTTGCATGGTATGCCAGAGTGTGCCAACCGAGCGTTGGGCAGAATTGGAAATAAAAGATAAACTATTGGTAGTTGTCTGTTGTAATTTCCCCTTCACCAAAGTAACAGTTCCTCTTGATATAAATAACGATAGAAAACATAATTATGAATTCATATTAAATTCAATTACTTTGCTAAAAAAAATAATCAAATACATTTGTTTAATTCTCATTTCATAAACTTTTCATGGTTATTTATTAACGTGTGAATTGTTAAACTGAATTCACAGCAAATCCTACATTTTAGACCAACGCAGTGACAAAAAAAACATACCGTCTTTGGAAAATGACTTTCAGTTGACCTATTATGGCCTAAACATTAAAATTCACTTTGAATTCGTGACAACTTTTGTAAATCACTTTGGTTGGATTTTTAATAGAAATTCCTGGACTTATTGCCACCTCTGGTACAGGGAAATCCACGTTCTCTTAGGATTAGGAATTAATAAGACTCCCATTCATTGAAAACCCGAGCATGTGGCTGCTGCTTTAACATACGGTCAGTAGGGGGCAATGAGATGGATTAAAATTTACTTTTATCATGGAAACTTTTTTCTGCATGTTTTGACAGACATGCCATTTTATCAACTAAATAAATTCACGAGGGCCACGATTGGACACCCCTGGTTCCCTTGGTTTAGAACGTTCTCAGAGGGCCACATTTGGACACCCTTGGTTTAGATCGTACTCAGAGGGCCACATTTGGACACCCTTGGTTTAGAACGTACTCTGAGGGCCACATGTGGACACCCTTGGTTTAGAACGTACTCTGAGGGCCACATTTGGACACCCTTGGTTTAGAACGTACTCTGAAGGCCACATTTGGACACCCTTGTTTAGAACGTACTCTGAAGGCCACATTTGGACACCCTTGGTTTAGAACGTACTCAGAGGGCCACATTTGGACACCCTTGTTTAGAACGTACTCAGAGGGCCATATTTGGACACCCTTGGTTTAGATCGTACTCAGAGGGCCACATTTGGACACCCTTGGTTTAGAACATACTCTGAGGGCCACATTTGGACACCCTTGGTTTAGAACGTACTCCGAGGGCCACATTTTGACACCTTTGGTTTAGAACGTACTCTGAGGGCCACATTTGAATGTACTCTGAGGGCCACATTTTGACACCCTTGGTTTAGAACATTCCAGGATGTACTCCAAGTGCTTTTCGTTTTCAAATCGTTAAAATAACATTTTGCTTTAACGCATGACTACACACTGCTTATGTTTGTTTAAAAGAAAACAGTGTAACCTGGAATACATTAGAAAGTCTAGTTTTTTCCAGTCCAAGCTGTGCATGCGCGGCTGACAGGTTATAGAGCAGCACAAAGCACCTCGGGCTGTTTTAAGGAATCTCTTTTAGAACAGGTTTATTTCTCCAAAGGACATTGATGAATAGGTTGAGACTGAATGCTTGTTTGAGTAGGATCCTCGTCAACCTATTGTCCCTTTAACATTTTGTTATTGTCCCATTTATTGTTACATTTCCCCCTTTTATAATATTGTAAAGAGCTGCTTTAAATATAGCTTAAAAAGCCTTTGTGAGAAAAGCCACTGGTACAGCGCAATAAGAGGAAACTACCTTGTCTACCTTGCCGTGTAGTATGTAGCATTCACATGCTGCAGGATGGTAATTACATAACATATTTGCTACTAGCAGTGTTAGAATTCTACATACATGTAGGGCAGGACTTTTCATGCGTTGTCCAAAGTAGAGGAAATGGAAAATGTCTGATTTAGACAACTTTTCCAATTTGATTCAGTGGGTCTAAAATGGGCAAATCCATATCAATTCCTGACTATTCCAGAATTTCCAGAAAAATAACGTTATAAAATGAATATTTGGCGGAAGTCATGGTGGGTTTGGCAAGCACGCGGTCAATTCGTGGTTCATCAGGTTTTATTTTGAATTTAACACATTGTCACTTGCCGAAGCGCCCAGTGTTCAGATAACATGTTTTGATGATAACTGGAGTGACAATTCTTGTATTTTAAACAGGTAATTATTGCATCATATGTAATACTTTCTAGAAATGTCCACAAAATGTGTAACCTTATCATATTATACACTCAGATACACCCACAATGGAGCTCTGAGAAAAGAGGGATATTAGGATAGAAAATAGGGACAGAATGATTTGGGTCCAAAATAGGGACTGTCCGTCCTACATAGGGACACTTGGGAGGTATGTTATATCACTATTGCTATATATAATGTGCTTTGTTTTTACCAGTAAAGAATTCTATATGCTGTATATTATTTAATTACATCTCCTTTGTATTTAATGCTTACTCCTTCCTTATTACCTGTGATTGTCAGATTCAGCACTGAGAGCACAGCTCCTAACCCATATTAGCTATAGCCTTACAGAAAATCTGAATTAATACTTGCGGTGTTTTTAAAGGGCTGGTTTGATTTCAGAAAATCACTAAGTAGCAAATACACGGATGAAGAAAGATTGGTGGAATTAAACAATCTGCAGGCTTTTTTAGTTTACTTATATTACATTGTACGAGTAATTCTAACAAAGTCCCATTGTGGGGTAGATTGTAAAGTGACTCGGTCAATGCCCTGTGAGAAATAAATCGTGTATATAAAAAAAAAAAGTATTACAAATTGCTCGAGAAGCATAAAAACACAAACCATTTTGCTGCATTGTGTATTTATGTTAACGCCAATTCATTGTGCCTCTTTGATATGGCTCTGTGAAAGGAGCTGCCATTTAATAAAGAACGGATTTTAATATTGCCCTTTCCAAAGAAGTCACCAGGGGGTCTATTCATTAATTACCAGAGAGGCGATTCCAACTGTGTCTGCCGTGCAAAGGCAGAACTGAAAATCGTTCGCCTTTTATCAGAGTTCAGGACAAACGGAACCCCAGTTCTTCCAAAGCTTAGCTTCGAAAACTAACAGAGTTATTCTTTAATGTGAGCTTTCAAAGTGAGTTGCAAATTTAAGGTCAAAGTAGCAGAAGTGGAAAAAATATCAGTCAAGTCAGCTCTGCTTCTCTTCAACTACTCTGGTCTGAAATTAGAAATTCGCTTATGAGTTCTCGCCGAATTCTCACTTTATTAAATACCCTCTAATTTGGCGCCATTCGTATATATGTAGCAGGAATTTTACCAGAACATTAACCGGCTTTGCTGCCGAACCTGCAAACTCATTGGGTTTCTTAATGCATTGGGTAGGGCGTAGTTGGGTGCTCCGCTGAATTCATTGGTTGGAGCACAAATCCTGAGATCATCGGCTCCGTGAAGTATCAGGAATTCAAAGTGAATTTTATATCTTACAATGGATGAACTGAAATAGCTGAATGGGTGAATTTATACAAATTGGATATTTAGGCTTAAAATCACTTTAAGGTTCACATTGAATTCTTCACAATTAATATTAAGCTGTCAGTGTTATCATGGTGTAAATCCAATCTTAATAACATCCACTAAGTATTTAAATCGGATATAATGAAAAGAGTTTAATGGTAACAGTTATGCTTTGTGGCCCTTTTTTGATCATTAGCCAACAGGAAAATGCTATCACAACAGAACCCACAGAAAGTCAAATATCTGGCATTCTTTAGGGCCATTCAAACCCCTTACATATGATTGTGAGACTTACAAAAGCCTCCTTGAAGAGAATTTCCAGTCTTACCTGCAGATTGCAACAAGTGGAAAGGAAGATTGTGTTAATAAAAATCAATTCTTAATCTACGGGAACAAAATGTTCACAGGTTTAATAGATCAGACGCCCGTACCAGGAATCCTTCAAACACGTCTTTCTATGGCCGAAGCTTCGCCTCGATCCTGTAGAAAAAGACTTTCCTGCTTAGGCTAGAAGACTAAGATCGCGCACGATAATACGGGGCCACGAAACACGATAAAATGATCTGGTGTTTCACAGCTGCTTCATCCTATGGCCCTTCATTCTGAAGACGCAGTTACAATGTTTATTGAAGTCTCTTGCTGTGTGGCTGCCATTGATTACGTAACACAGCCGGGACAGACAAATAACGTCCTGGCTTTCTGGTATTGCAACCAAGACGTGATACAAATATAAAAAGTGAAAATAATATTATCCCTACATTTACACGAGTGAATCGCTGTTATCATTACTGTCCATTTCGCAGAAAAGTGCCCCCGGGCAGAGTACCCAAAATACCCGGATTACTATACCTGACAAAGTACCCAAAATACCCGGATTACTATACCTGGCCGAGTATCCCAAATACCCGGATTACTATACCTGACAAAGTATCCCAAATACCCGGATTACTATACCTGACCGAGTATCCCAAATACTCGGATTACTATACCTGACAAAGTATCCCAAATACCCGGATTACTATACCTGACAGAGTACCCAAAATACCCGGATTACTATACCTGACAGAGTACGCAAAATACCCGGATTACTATACCTGGCAAAGTACCCAAAATACCCGGATTACTATACCTGACAGAGTACCCAAAATACCCGGATTACTATACCTGGCAGTGTACCCAAAATACCCGGATTACTATACCTGTCAGAGTACTCAAAATACCCGGATTACTATACCTGGCAGAGTACTCAAAATACCCGGATTACTATACCTGGCAGAGTATCCAAAATACCCGGATTACTATACCTGACAAAGTACCCCAAATACTCGGATTATTATACCTGGCAGAGTACCCAAAATACCCGGATTACTATACCTGGCAGTGTACCCAAAATACCCGGATTACTATACCTGTCAGAGTACTCAAAATACCCGGATTACTATACCTGGCAGAGTACTCAAAATACCCGGATTACTATACCTGGCAGAGTACTCAAAATACCCGGATTACTATACCTGGCAGAGTATCCAAAATACCCGGATTACTATACCTGACAAAGTACCCCAAATACTCGGATTATTATACCTGGCAGAGTACCCAAAATACCCGGATTACTATACCTGACAAAGTACCCAAAATACCCGGATTACCATAGCTGGTGGAGAACTCGAAATACCTGTGAGAGACCTGACCAGTCATTTGGGACATGCGTGGTATCTACATGACATATCCGGGCTGGCATGTTGGCAGTCTAATTTGCTAAGCGCTCAGCACCATTGGGATAAAATGTGATTCAGACCCTCGGAGGGGGCACTACCCTTCATGCCCTGGATAGGAGGGACAGAGAGTGGATTTACAGTTACTGCGATCACTAGGGAGGGGGCCCTGGGTTATATTCCTGCACTATATAGGAGTATTGGATGAGATATCAGAAGGAAGAAGTGGACAAAGCGTTTAAAGAGGAAATCCCTGGAGTAAAATAGCTGCCAGGTAACAAAATCCCAGAAAACCTTAGAGATATATTAAATGCCGGCTCAGCTTTAATATCCAGCTCGTTAATGCTCTGCTCGTTAGTTCAGGCTTGTTAATATCCTGCTCATTAATAACCAGCATATTACTAATTTTTTTTTCTAGTGAGTAGAGATTTATTTGATATATAAATGTAAGCACACAATTGACTTGAATAATTTTAAAAGATCTTCTCTTCTGTTAAGATGGGGATTTATTTACTAAATTGACTATTGCGGAAAACTAATGAGGAAAGCAAACGTTCTAGACAAAAACAGAGAAAACTGTAAAATTTATCTATTCAGTTATTTCCGGTGAAAATCTGCAATCCCTTTGTCAATACTCAGAATTATTGGCTTAGTTTGTAAAATGTTAAATTTTTAGAACTGATTTTTCTGTCCTATTTTTTCAGATCACAGTGAGGCCGAATGACTGCAGTCTATCAGTACTCACTAAAGTCGGCCGGATATGAACAGATTATGGGATATGCATTCCTTATAAACTCAGCATCAGCAGAGGGTGATAGGCTTTAAGAGCCAAGAGTGACCTACTATGACAAAGTCTACGCTGCGGCCACAAATGGCTCGCCGATTAGCACTTTGCCATGTGTGTAGCTCACCTGTGGCACTGAAAAGGTCACTTTTAAACGTAAAAGGACAATTTTACGTATAAGAGTTCTTGGATGACGCTGAACTGTCTAAACAGATACAAATATGAAAACATTCTTTTAATAAAAATTCTGGATACATTTCTCTTTATACTATTCATTTAATACACTGAACCCTTCTCTGTAAGTGTAGTCAACCTATCATATTAGCAGAATTAAGGTTTTTTTTAATTGCCAGGCAGAACACGGCAGGGAAGGGATTCTGTGACAGGAATTTTGGGAGGGGAGGCCTTTTGATTTTGAAGCTCCCCAGCCCCTCTGTGTACAAGGAGTGTGCAGACTCCTGTCACAGTCTCTGAAAGAACTTTAATTGAACCAGCGCGAGAGGAATCAGTACAGGTTTGTTTCTGACTAACCTCAGAAGCAACAACGAAATGAAAGAGTCTTTTAAACCGGGGCTGCGCTAAGCGAGGTTAACTCCTTATTCCCAGCGGAACGCCGCACTCTGCCAGGGTTAAAACCAGCTAGAATAAACAGGCGCAGGGTTATTCAATAAACAGTGAACTGTCAGGAATTCAAAATACATTTTATGGCAAACTAGTCAAACAGACAGCGTAGCAGACACAGAGAATGGCTGTTTTTGACTGAAATGTGAAATTTATTTTGAATTCTCGATGATTCATGCTTTAGTAAATAATGACGATGGATACTTTGTAAAGTACGAGTTTAATTATGGGGTTGTATACGGAAGCAGATAACATGAAGCAGGTTAATCACAGGGTTGTGTAAGATTAGAACGGGTGATATCTCCATTATAGGATTGCTATTATGTATCCACAAATATTCAGGCACAGCCTTAACTCCTGTTTACTGTCTTTCCCCATTGTCACAGTCTCGTTAACCTGGCTTTACAATACATTGGACAGAGCTTCGTTGGTGATCTCTAAATAACGTTTACAATGGGATAACATCACAATGGATCAATAGCCTTCAGATCCTGCCCTGCGCTAATTAATATAATGGCTGACAGGTCAGAAAGTCAAAAAACAGGCAGAGCTACTGCTAATCTAGCCAGCAGGGATATATCTTATATTTCCACATAGCTGGACTACCCTGTCATCCAGTACCCAGAATCCTCTGCTTTGTTTATGTAGAAACCACCAACAGACAAAAACTGCATGCAAACAGGTGAGGTGGTGGCTCAGCCATTTCCTTTCAGACACCTGTGCACCAGAAGTATATACAGAGTTTAAAGGGAGACTCCGAGAACCATAATCCGTACAGCTCACTGTAGTAGTTATGGTGCCAGACGTGCTCCGACCCCTACCTTCCCCCCCCTTTCCGCCACCATGGTAAGGTGACAAACTGTTTTTGAATGGTTTAACTTCTTACCTCGCTCCTTGTTTACTTCACTAACACCAAAGAGCGGGACTCCATCAGACCCCCTGAGCTACGTCCTGTTGACACACTGGCTGAGAGTGTCAGATGATCACTCTCAGCAAATGAGACAGCTTCCGCCTCTCTCGTTGAGGTAGTGACGGCAGGAAGAAGCCAAATGGCTCTAAAATGGTTTCACTACATACAATGAAGACATAGTTCCTATCAACCTGTAGTGGTTATGGTACTTGGAGTATTCCTTTAAGTAAAGATTCCTGTGATGGGTAGAAACATCTAACAGGACAGTAGATATTATGTACAGTTGATTTTTCATGTACTATTAGCTGGGCCGCTAACTTTTTTCTGTTTTTTTTTTATTTATACTGTAATGCAGGGTTATTCTATAAACTCCAATTTGTGGTGAATTAAAATACAAATGGTAAAATGTAGCTGTGACTATAGACGAGTTTCCCAGAGTTGCTTCTCAGTTGCCACTGGGCTCTCACTGCAGTTTGGAGTTTAGTAAATTAACCTGCAAACTGTCATTCCTGGAGCCCAGGGCCAATCTCTGCATTCACGGACCCTCTGTCGGTGCATCTATTTTTAGTAAATAGCAGTTATCTGCGTTTTAAATTTTCCAGCCCAACAGCATATTGTGAAATGACGCAAGTGTCACCACAATGTACTGCGCTCAGCGGCTGTCTGAAAGAGGAACTGTCGCTTTGGAGATAAATGTTTTCTATTGGTTGTTTGGTTTTCAATAATATCACCTGGCACAGCCTGGCATCATTTGCAAATTAACATAATTTCACAGCATCATGGGAAAATGATTCCAGCTTCCTTCATCAATCACATGCCTAATCCTCAATGTGTTACATGATAGAAAGGAAACAATATGTTCATCTTGTCATTTATGTACATAACTGTAAGGTTTATCGTTAACCAGACGAGTGTTTATTTTATTTCTCCTGCATCGTAATGTGACATATTGTTAATATAGTAAGACAATTAGTGAAACATACTAAATCGCTTGTGTGGGGCTGTTTGTGGTTTATGTGTTTATTATATTTATATTATTTGTATTTGATGTTTCTCTGATGGATTGAAATTAATAGATAAATGTTTATTGTACTCATATTTTTCTGTTTCTGTTTCTGTTTTCACAAATCACACATTATATAAATGTTATCTAAATATTTTTTAACCCCTTGGGGGACAATAACATGCCAGGTATTCGTGACATAGAGGGATGTGAATAACTCCTGGTCTCTAAGTGGTTAAAAAGCTCCATGTTAGCGTGTCTCTGTAATAAGAAACCCAAACTCTAGTGAGCTCCGGTTCTGCCCTAGGGCGCCCTGCATACAGCGCAGAGAATGCCAGTCTATGCCAGCTGTTTGCAGTGTTTATACAGAAATGAACATTGTGTTTCGCAAAGAGATCTGGGTGTATTCTAGCCAAACAGAGAGATATGAATTCATCTCAATTTATGAAACTGTCTATATCCATCACCGAGATCTGTTCTGTCCTAATACACAGAACCCAAGGAGCTGGACACCCAGACCTAATACAGCAATTCAATACTCATAATACCCAGCTATTACTCCACCCTACCTGTGGATTAAAGAGACACTCCAAACACCTAAAGCAGTATGCTGGAATGCTTTATATATGAAGAGTGTGTCCTCTTTCTACAAAAAGTAGAAATTACTGTTAAAATTAGCACTTTTATAAATAAACATTGTTACACGCCCCTGCCTGTCAATCAGACAACCAGTCCTGTTATTTCCTGGTTTGGTTAGCTCAGCGGAGATAAACGAGGCAGCAATTGCCCAGAGCACCTGCCTTGCAAAGACTTCTCATTGAGCTGCATTGGGAAGTCTGTGATTGGACAGCCACAGAAAGTCTGGGCGGGGTTAGAAAGGGAGGGCTTGTAAAGAAACATAGAAACATAGAATGTGACGGCAGATAAGAACCATTCGGCCCATCTAGTTTGCCCAAAGGGCTGCAGACAAAAGATCTGCAGAATTTGCAAGTTGTTTTAGACATACCACCAAGGAAAAATTAATAATTAAATGCATGAATGTTTTCATTAGGGGAATATCTACTAAATAGTGATTTTTATCTGTTTGCATTTTGACATCTTTCACCTCCTCCTAATACACAGACATCAGGACACGTACCTCTCTCCTCCTCCTAATACACAGAAAGGACACCTACCTCTCACCTCCTCCTAATACACAGACATCAGGACACCTACCTCTCACCTCCTCCTAATACACAGACATCAGGACATGTACCTCTCACCTCCTCCTAATACACAGACATCAGGACACGTACCTCTCACCTCCTCCTAATACACAGACATCAGGACACCTACCTCTCACCTCCTCCTAAAACACAGACATCAGGACACCTACCTCTCCCCTCCTCCTAATACACAGACATCAGGACACCTACCTCTCCCCTCCTCCTAATACACAGACATCAGGACACGTACCTCTCACCTCCTCCTAATACACAGACATCAGGACATGTACCTCTCACTTCCTCCTAATACAGAGACATCAGTACACGTACCTCTCACCTCGTCCCAATACAGGGACATCAGGACACGTACCTCTCACCTCCTATTACACGCTCCCCTCCTGCTAATGCAGAGATATCAAGACAGACCTCTCACCACATTCTAATACACAGATAATATTTTGTAGACAGATTTTACGCAGATTTTCTTGCACTTATTCTTACACACATGATGCCAGTTTGAACGTCCAGTAAAGTAGAAACGCTATCACTATAAGCTCTGAATAAAGGGGGAGTGGGTCCATGGTTGTGGTTAGTAGGGTCTCAGGTCAGGGTGAGTGGGTCCAGGGTTGGGGTCAATAAGGTCTCAGGTTAGGGTGAAGGGGTCCATGGTTGATGTTAGTAGGGTCTCAGGTTAGGGTGAGTGGGTCCATGGTTGAGGTTAGTAGGGTCCCATGTTAAGATGAGTGGGTCCATGGTTGGGGTTAGTAGGGTCCCTGGTTAGGGTGAGTGGGTCCATGGTTGAGGTTAGTAGGGTCTCATGTTAAGATGAGTGGGTCCATGGTTGGGGTTAGTAGGGTCCCTGGTTAAGATGAGTGGGTCCATGGTTGAGGTTAGTAGGGTCCCAGGTTAAGATGAGTGAGTCCATTATTGAGTTTTATAGAGTTTCAGGTTATGGTGAGTGGGACCAGAGTTGGGTTAAAGGAATTTTGGGCTTAGCATGGTCCTTGGTTTGAAAAAAAAGGGTCCAGAATTAGATGTCAGTGCTTCCTTGAATCCAGAATTTGTTTGGCGCAGGGTAATGGACCTCATAGTTAGTGTGGATCAAGGGTCTCAGTTTGTGGGTCCATGGTTAGGTTTAGTGGGGTTCAGGGTTAGGTTTAGTTCAGTTTATGGTTATGTTTAGTGGGGGTACAGGGGAAGTGTCTCTGCGGTCTATGGTTTGGTTTAGTGGGGTCTAGTAGAGGCGTATGTGGGGTCCAGAGATTGCATTTTGGGGACATTGGCTAGGAGGGATTCAGATTTTTGGATTCACACTCAGAGGTAGCTGAGGGATTATTCCATCGTAATGTTTATTATTACATTTAAGCCCAAAAAGAGTATTAATGTCACTTTTCTCATAGGGAATTACATTCATGAAGTTACAGCAAATTGGAAACAATGTGAAACCTGGCTACTGTAAATGGGTAGTTAAATAAATTCAATATAAGGAGCTTTATAGAGAGTCCATGAACCCTGGCCCCTTGTGCCCCCTGAAAGGGCTAATCCCTGCCTTACTATAGTCACTCTGTATTAGTTAACCTGAACTCACACAATGATATCTCAGGCCCCCTATCCTGACTGCACCACAATCCCTGTATATCACACTTTCCCTGCATTAAATACAACAACCAGCAAACCGTACTGTCAGCCCCTCGGTGCCAGCTGTGAGGTGCCCAGTGCCATTAATGCCCTGCTAGGTCTTACAAGGAGCCCTCAGTACTAACAGTCACTGAATCCCTCTGTCCTGCTCACTCACAGTCTGTCTCTGCAAAACACCACTATTGGGAAACCTATGCACTCTTAACCCCTCACTGCCCAGAGTGTGCCAGCTCAGTGCAGGGTCAGTCTTACCTGGGAGCTCTGCAGACTTCCTCCAGTCAATGTGAGTAAATCCAGGTAAAGCACAGATTAGGAAGTGGAGGATTTGTGGAATGAGCAAGGAGGGGTGAGGAGTCTAGTTTTGGGCAGGGGGAAGGGGTTTGTGTCTGTAGCTGAGAGGTTTCTGTTTAATCTGTGCTCAGTGTGACAGTTCCTCTCTCTCCCTCTCTCCTCCTTCCCCAAGCCTTGCACAAGCCCTTTGCCCCTGACATCAGAGTGACGTCATTGTGACTCCCTTGAAGACATACAGGTAGGTACACAGCCACACCTTGTGTAACATTAACCCCCAGTGAGCAGCCCATGGGGGCAGGATGTTACCATGGGACTTAACACTCAAAACAAAGGCTCAGCAGCACATTACCAACTTCTGTCTATATTCACACACAAATGATCGATTATATATTGGTCCCTGATCAGTGACATATTACTTGCAAATATTAATATTATTAAAGATCAGCGTTTGGGGAGAGAAATGTCAGCAGCCATGTATGTGAACTCAATTATTATCTGTTTATTTGTGTAGATAAACTGTTTCCATTTGTTTGTAGAGATGTTGAACTTTTCAACGTCATTATCAATATGTTAGTATAGACTTTGAATTAAAAAAAAATGTATTTATATAGACTGTGAATCTAATTATTATCAGTTTATTAGTATACATTTTGCACTAAATTAGCCTTTTTGTTTGTATACAGTGTGAATTGAATCATTGTATTTATTTCTATAGATTGTTAATTATTATCCATTTATTTGCATGGACTGTGAATGATTTTTTTTTTATCAGTTTATTTCTATAGAACGTAAGTTAATTATTATCCATTGATTTTCATAGATTATGAAATAAATAATTTTCCATTTATTTGTATAGATTGTGAATAGGACTTCTGCATGCGTCTGTTTGTAGGTTGTGAGTTAATTTACTTTGGTAATAAATTCCCCAGCTCTGAATGTGAGACAAAAAGGATATTAGAACATAATGTATTGTAGGAGAACGAAGGAAGGGGGTAATACATATTTACATCTAGTTGGTTATTCCATGCCGAGTCATGTTTGGGAAATATACGACTGTGAATTCTCCAGCATAGTTTCCTTGTTTGTTTGTTTTTTTGCACAAAAACACAAATTAGTTGTAAAAAGTGCAGAAGAATTTTCTCAAAAGCAAAAACCAAGCAAAAGCAGTTTAAAAGTCCCACGGAATCTCTACCGCCATGATCTTTGGTAATATTTGTGGTTTGTTAGATCTATTCACTAAGGTCCGAATTAAACAAGCTGAAATATGAATAGCAAAATCTAAGCAAAGATAGCTCTAGGTATAGCTGAGTTGGATCATTTACACAGTTCAGCAATTTTAGCCCAAATATTGCCATTCATGTTCATTTTGCTACAATTCGGAGTTTAGTGAATTATTATTATTACTATTTTATTATTTATATAGCGCCATCAGATTCCGTAGACCTTTTTATTATTTCGGAATGTTGCGTCAATCTATGCACTTCTGCAAATCATCACCTACATTATAGATGGCATTGCCCACGCTAACACCCATACTGGTGAATATGCTCCATGTGCTACATTTCCACGGAGAGCGAAATTCATGGACATTGTGAGCAAAAAACTCTCAAAGTAAGGCCTAAAAGTAAAAACCTTTACATGTCTCGCAGTTCTTCTCGTAAATTGATACTTATCACAGGCATTACAATTAAACATGTCCTGTACTATGTTACATTTTGTATTTATTGTGTATTAATATTGTTTTTGTATTTTATTGTACCCTAATGTAACAATGCAATGATTTGTAGACCCAGGACATACTTGAAAACGAGAGAAATCTCAATGTATCTTTCCTGGTAAAATATTTTATAAATAAATAATAACGTTATTTAATTAAAATGTCTTTTTTATGTAAATTGCAGGTGACTGAGACAAATCTGTCCTCCATTCCCATCGCTCAGACTTGATTAGGAGTACGTGGACAGTCACATGATTGGTGTCAAAGGTGACAACGTGATTGTCCGTCAGAGGAGAAATGAGAAGTATAAACCTCGAACCTGCTTTCAGCCCAATTAAAAGTCGATATAGATATGCATTCAAGACCCCCACCCTCTTTATTATTTCGGCACTGCCTAACCATACTTTATCTCTGTCTCCACTTTTACCATTAACTTATTGCTTTTAAAACTTTAGTATTTTTTATCATACAGCAATAAGCCATAAAACCCAGTGTAAAACCAGCTACGTGATGCTTCTTGTCACTTTGTAAATAGCTGCATGCTTGAAGGGGCATTATGTTACCCAGATCTCTATTCTAAATTGAGATCTTTTATTGTCAGTAACTGCT